TTATTTAATTTTATTTATTTGTTATTATTATTATTATTTTAAATTTGACCAGAGAGACAGAGACAGACAGAGAGAGAGAGAAAGGGAAAGTGAGAAAGCAACCTGCTAGGTCCAGCACTTGAACCATAGTTGGCCATGTAGGAATCTAACACCTTAACCACCCACACCACCTGCTGACCCCTTGCTTTTCTTTTAAATTATTTATTTTATTTATTCATTCATTTATTTTAATTTGACCAGAGAGAGAAAGATTGAGAAAGCAAGCTGCCAGGTCCAGGACTCGAACCGTGGTCAGCCATGTGGGAATGTCCAGCACCTTAACCACCATGCCACCTGCTGGTCCTGCCTTGCTTTTTTGTTGTCATTTTTTTATTATTATTATTTTTACTTGCTGGAAGCATCTGTCTTGAGGATTTTTTTTTTAATATTTTATTTTATTTAATCTTTTTTTTTTTAATTTGACCAGAGAGAGCCAGAGGGTGAGAGTGAGAGAGAGGAAGTGAGAAAGCAAACCACCAGATTCAGGACTCAAACCCTGGTTGGCCATGTGGGAGTGTCCAGCTCCTTAACCACCATGCCACCTGCTGGTCCCTTTTTTATTACTTTTTAATCTGACCAGAGAGAGACATGGAGAGAAAGAGAGAAAGTGAGAAAGCATGCTGCTAGGTCTGGAACTTGAACCATGTTCGGCCCTGTGGGAGTCCAGTGCCTCAACCACCACATCACCTACTGACCCTTATTTTTGTCTAAGAGGTTTTTGCTATAGGGCACATGCATTCTCTAGAGAGACAGAAAGAGAGAAATCACCCCCGGGGAGATAGCCATACCGCAATCCCTTCTCTTCCATATTCCCAGGACCTTGGGCATGCACACACATGTACCTGGTGTGAGTTTCAAGCTACTGGGTTCACGGCGCAAACCACAGTCAACTACGTGGGAGTCCAGTGACATAACCATTATGCCATCTGTTGGTCCCTGGCCCTTCGTTTATTAGTTTTTTGCCAGTGTGCATAGAGAGAGAAAAAGTGAGAAAGTACCGTGCACTCGCCAAATTCTTTTTTTTTTTTTCAGAGGTTTTAGCAATAGGGTACGTGCACTTGCCAGACAGAGAGAGACAGAGAGACAGAAAGGGAGAAATCAACCCCACAAAGAGAGAAAGTGAGAAAGCATGCTGCTAGGTCTGGAACTTGAACCATGTTCGGCCCTGTGGGAGTCCAGTGCCTCAACCACCACATCACCTACTGACCCTTATTTTTGTCTAAGAGGTTTTTGCTATAGGGCACATGCATTCTCTAGAGAGACAGAAAGAGAGAAATCACCCCCGGGGAGATAGCCATACCGCAATCCCTTCTCTTCCATATTCCCAGGACCTTGGGCATGCACACACATGTACCTGGTGTGAGTTTCAAGCTACTGGGTTCACGGCGCAAACCACAGTCAACTACGTGGGAGTCCAGTGACATAACCATTATGCCATCTGTTGGTCCCTGGCCCTTCGTTTATTAGTTTTTTGCCAGTGTGCATAGAGAGAGAAAAAGTGAGAAAGTACCGTGCACTCGCCAAATTCTTTTTTTTTTTTTCAGAGGTTTTAGCAATAGGGTACGTGCACTTGCCAGACAGAGAGAGACAGAGAGACAGAAAGTGAGAAATCACCCCCACAGTGGGGATGGCCACGCTGCAATCTCTTCTCCTCCGTTTTCCTCTCGGGATCTTGGGCACGCACGCACATGCGCCCAGCGTGAGTTTTAAGCCACCGGGTCCAGGACGTGAACCGCGGTTGACTACATGGGAGTCCAGCGACATAGCCATTACGCTAACTGCTGATCCCCAAAAGTCCAAACTCTTGAAGGCCCTGCATGAGCTAACCCATGGCACCCTCTCCAGTCTCACCTTGCCACACTAAATGTCTCACTAGCTCCCTTGGCGTCTCTGTGACTAGAATGCCATCTTCCCACTCTCCTTTTGAACAAAAACCAGATCCAACACAAATGTATACTCTTCCAGGAAGTCTTTCCTCCTCTCCCCTGTGACTGGACTGGAAAGATCTCCACACAGTCTCCGCACTATTTAACCTCATCTGTCACACTTCTTATGCCACTTGCTTAAGTGTTTTCATTTTTTGGTCTGCTCTCGTTGGAGAACCAGAATCAAGGCTGACTAATCTTTGTGTCTACAGCACCAGCCATAAATACCCACCAGGGCCCCAGAGCACACACAGGGCATGCACAGATCTTCTGGAGAGATACCCATACTTCTCTCTGGGCACAGAGTGTGGGTGAAGCAAGGTGTGAACCGAGCCCATGGGAGGCAGGAAATGAGGCAGGGGTCTGGCACAAAAACCCACCTCTCGCAGTTCCTCCAGCCCATACTCCACTGCCGCCGTCAGCACCTCCAGCACCTGCAGAGTAGGTGGTTGAGGGAGCAGGCGGGCGTTTCCTTTGCCCATCTGCACACACAGCACAATGGGCGAGCTTCTGCCTCTTGCGCCCCCAGCCTCTCCCACCCCAGCTCCTGCTAGGTAGGCTCACAGAGTGGCGGTGCAGCTTGACGCTGTTGGTATACAGGAACTCCAGCACTGCCAGGAAGGCCTCAGCTGGCACAGTGCTCAGCACCACAGGACTAGCCACCCCGGGGCCTGGCTCTGTGCCCAGAAGTCGCTGGAAGAAGTTGCATCTACAGGCCAATAAGCACCGGTGGGCAAATACCTCCTGCTGTTCTTGACCAACCACAAAGCGAACATCACTGTGGGAGAGAGGGGCGGAGAGAGGGGCAGAGATCCAGGGAAGCGGAAGCCAGAGTCTAGAGTGCAGCTTGGGCTTGGACTTGGGCTTTGCCTTTGCCCACTCTGGGCCTTAGTTTCCCTGTCTGTAATGTGAGAGACAGAACTCAGTACGCCCAGCAGAAGGCACAGGACACACAGGCCTGAGTTCTAGTCCCAGTTCCGCCCTATGATACAGCAGGCAAATGATTTCCTATCTCTCAGGCTTCCCAGCCATGAAGTGGGAGGGGAATCCCAAACCTCAGGTCTCAGAGGAGGTGACTGCTTGATTACTGGGGAGCCACCAGGGGTGCTGCAAGCAAGCCTACCCCTGCCTCCCCAGCCTGAGTCTTAGGGGAAGGGAAGCTTCTCTCAGCTCCTCCTCCACTGGCTGCAAACAGCTTTGTCAGCCTCTTCCAGGCAGAAGGCTGTGTGGGGTGCAGAGCGTGCATGCGGTGACTGCAAAAAGACATGGCAGTAGACGCGGCCTCAATGCTCCACTGTGAGGCCAGACCACATTTTCCATCTTCATGATCACTTCCGGCCCCAACCTCTGGGCCTCTAATGAGGCAGGGGCAGGAGGCAGGAGATGAAGCTCGAGCTTCCTGGAACCTCGTAGTCCCAGGTCCTGAGGTTCCCACTACTCAGGCCAGACTGTGACCCCCAAAGTAGCAGGTCAGGGGACCCGCCCTTGGGGAGGAGCCCGGATCTGAGGCAGTGGGGACAGTTCTGCCGACCAGTCTGCCCTGTCTGTTCTCCCCTAGTTCAGGCCCCCCTCACATCCTGGGTGGCAGCTCCCCGAGCTACTTCCTGTCGGGCTCTGACTCATTCCCTTGAGCTTTGTTCCTTTCATGAATCCCCAGGACCCAGAACAGGGTCCTCTCCTCCTCTGCCCTCTTCAAGGAGGGAGGCCCCAACACCAAATGCTGGAGGTGATGGAACCCCAGGTTATCAATATAGCCCACCACTTAGGACTCGTTTTACCCCTGCCAGCAGCCCAAGATCCAGAGAAGGAAGAGCTTCCTGGAGCCTCTGAATCCCAGGCCCAAGGCCGAGGTTCCCACTGCTCAGGGGAACCTCAGCACCCGCCCACAAGTGTGGGCCTCTGTTCTCCGGAAATCGTCACCAGTGGTGTCCCCTGACTTCCCCACAGTCTGAGTTCACCAGGGAGCAGGGCTAAGTCCTAAGTCCATGCCTCTTCCCCTGGGCCTCCGCAGTGTCATGGGGCCCCAGGGGACCCAGCTGGGGAAACCCGCAGGCCCAGCCCTCACCTGTATCGGGGGTTGTTGATGAGACTCCGGAGTGCTGTGGAAAAGGGTGCAGGCTCCCCGCGCACAAGCAGTCCCAGGGTCTCCATGGGGGTGCTGGGGAAGGGGGAACGCGGTGGCCTGGCCTGGGCCGATGTCTGTCTGCGGGAGGCTTAGAGCTGGCCAGACTAGGAAAGCCACAGGGAGGGGCAGCAGCTTGGGAGGCCAATTTGCTAAGTTTAGGGATGGAGTGCCAAGGGCCGGGGTTCCAGAAGCCTTCAGATGCCTGAGGTTCAGGGATAGGGAGGGGCCGGCAGAGGCCGAGGCTCCAGCGGGTAGAGGCTGATGCTGGCTGAGCCCTGGCTGGGAGCTGCCCAGGCAGCCGCTGGGGTGGGTTTCCATGGAAACTGGAGCCTGGCCTGAGAGGAGGCCCCGCCCAGCTCCCTGCAGCCCGGGGAAAACTTTGGCCTTGGAGGGCCCCTAAGCAGAGCCCCAGAGTCCTAGCACTCCAGCTCCTGCCTCCCTGCCTCAGCTGCTTGTGGGGAGGCCACAGAGAGCGGAAGGGTGGTGGGAGACTGGGTTCCATGCTGCTGGCTAGGGTTCCAGGCATTGTTTCCTCTGTCCAGGCTCCCCTCCCCACAGGATCAGGTTAGCCAGGCTTAGGAATCCCCTCGATACAGAGAAACCTCACTCCAGTGGATACTTCTCAGGGCCAAGACCTGGCTTGTTTGGGAGAGGAGTCCTGTCCCTGGTGGGGAAGCTTAGGTGAGGCAGTGTCAGCTGACAGGCATCATAGCTTCTGGTATCTCTGTAATGTGACACCACTGGTGGTGGTGGGGACCATCTAGGTACTGGGCATGCAAGAGGTGTGGCCTGCAAGGGTTAGGAGGGTCACCCTCAGTCACCACCCTGTCAGGCCTGGCTCTGGCCAGCTGAGCCAATAGGACTCCCCTCCCCCGCACTCAGCCCAGAACTGAGGAAGTCCTCCAAGCCACACCCTAGCTCTGGGCCTGGAGCGGAAATGTTTGTCCTTGTTGAGGCTGACAGGAGACAGAGCCATGACGTAGTCCTTCCTGTGGGCCAGATCCTGGATTCCTGAGTAGCCACCCCCACGGTCTCGAGGTCTCCCCATGTCCCAGGCCTCTGTGACGTGTTCAGAAATGGCCAGTCATCCAGCCATTTCACAAGAGAAGCGGACAGCAGTGCAGGAGCCCTGGGGTAGGAGGGCACCTTCTGACCAGAAGCCCTCTGGAAGATCTGTCCCTGTAGGGGGCCAGCAGGTGGTGTGGTGGTTAAAGGTGCTGGACTCACACATGGATGACGCGGTTCAAGTCCCAGACTTGGTGATTTGCTTTCTCACTCCCCCATCCCTCTATGTCTATCTCTGATCAAACTGGAAAATAATAATAATAGTAAATAAAGTTAAATAAAATAATTCTTAAAAAAAAAGAACCTGTTCCACAGTCACCACCCTTGTGGTAGTACATCCAAGTTCCAAGCCTGTTGCCCACCTCTCTCCCTGCCGACTCAGGGGCACCCCATCAGCTCCTGCTCACAGCAGTAACACTCCGGTTAAGCTAGGGCCTGGAGGGGAGGACTTTGGGAGGGAGGAGAGCTTGCTCAAGCAACCCATGGCAACCCGACAACAGAGGCCCTTCCCCTCCCACCTGCAGGTCAGGCCAGCCAAGCCAGGCTGTGGAACCAGAGGGAGCTTGGAGGCTGCAGGTGACTCAGGTGCCTAAGGGAGTTTCTGGAGGAGTGGACGGCCATCCTGGAACTGATGCTGGGAGAGGCAGGGTCAGAGGCCAAAAGCAGTGGCAGAAAGCGCTTCCTGAGTCACCAGCCTCAGCTGGTTGTGGGAGGTCTTTCTGCTGGCCACAGAGAGCAGAGGGATGGTGAATGATTAGATCCCATGCTCCTGGCTAGAAGGATCTGAGGGCTTAGGAGCTGGGTCTGTCCAACCCCCCTGTCTAGGGTTTGGGGCATTACTTCCATTGTCCAGGCTGAGACAGACTAGTTCCATCCCCTGCTTCCGCTGGTGAAGTCAGGTGGAAGAAAGGAAGTGGACTCGGAGCTCCCTAGCAAGCTCCATAATGTTCAAGAGAAAGGACTTCACCAGGCAGGGTCTCACCCAGGGTCAGTCTAATCAGCATCTCTTCCCCTGTTTATTTCCCTAACAGTCCTTAACCCTCTAAACACTTAGGAACCCAGCAGCCTCCCACTATTCCAAAAACACAGGTAAGAATGGGAGGGGGAGCAGGGTGGGGGTGGAGTAGGGGTGAAATCCCTTGACCTCAACTGAGCAAAAGACAGGTGATAGAGAAAGCTGGCACTGAAGGGAACACCTAAATTTGAGTCTTCTAGCCTGCAGGTTCATGGCTGGCAGGTCTCTGCCCCCTGGATGCCAGGAGGAGGAGGCTGCCAAAGACTCTGGGCTGAAACTATCACCGGTGAGGCTCAGAGGCCGCCTGCCCAGTATTGATGAGGCCCAACCCGCCGGACTGGGCCCGGCATCCCGGCGTGGCTCCATGCTGGCAGCGTCTTTCTCACGCAGAAACTCTTTGGCGGGGCCTGGTATGGGTCCTGGGGGTCGGCGACCATCCATGGGCCCAGTGCCTCCTCTAGGTTCGAGGATCAGCTTCTCTGGGTTGCCCTTAGCACCTGCCCGTCGGATGGTGCCTTCCTACCGCATGGAGCCTGCACCTGGGGAGCGCTGGGAGGCTGCACGTGCACAGCAAGCCCTGGAGGCAGCGCTGGCAGCGGGGCTGCAGGATACCAGTTACTCTGGCTCAGAAGCTGGACGGCTGGCACGGGAGCTCTGTGAGCAGGTGCATGTGCGCCTGCGCGAGCTCAGCCCGCCGCGCTACAAGCTGGTGTGCTGTGTGGTGCTGGGGCCACGCGCAGGCCAGGGTGTGCGCGTGGTCAGCCGAGCGCTCTGGGATGCAGCTCGAGATGGGCTGATCTCCGCCACCTTCACCAACGCCTCACTCTTTGCCGTGGCCACTGTTCACGGGCTCTACTGCGAGTAAGGACACCTCCAAGTTCTGCAAAACGGTTTATTATCCCAGGAGGAGGCCCTCCTGGGGCTCACATCCCAATAAATAAATGTATGTCAATAAATAAAAGTGGTCCATAAATAATGCCCCCTAGCTGGGGGCTAAGGCTCGGGCTTATCTTGGAGAAGGGGTAGGAGACTACAAGGCCGCCCCCAACTCCAGTAAAGCTGGTCCCTGATTCCCTGGGGGATTCAGTCCAGAGCCCCCAGTGAGGCACCAAAAGGACAGGGAGGGTCACAAAGGCCCAGCTTGAGGGCTTAAGTGGTGCCTGCTCCCCAGAGAGGGCTAGGTGGGGCTGTGGTCCCGGAGCAGGCGTAGAGTGTAGCGCAGCCGCTGCCGCAGGTCCGGGGAGCAGCCCAGCTGCCGCAGGTGGGAAGCGAGGTAAGTACAAGCACTGCGATTTCGGGCCACAAAAGTCACAAGGAGGGGTTCCCAGCCACTGAGGATCAGCTTGGTGTGGTCCCCATAGAAGTTCACCTGTGTACAAGAAGGCAACACTGACCAAGGCCTGGGCCCCAGGCTCAATTCCTGCCCCAGCCCCTGACCTCCCAGACCTTCCCCCAAGCCCAGAGCGCTCTCTCACCTGGACAGTGCCATCACTGAACAGCATGAGGAGGGCCTGATCCGTCTTGACCCACTGCAGCAGCAAAGGTGGGGCAGGCATCTCCACCTCTTCCACACTGGGCAGGTCTCCACCCTGGAGCATGGACGTGAGTCAGTTTCTCCCCACCCATGTCTCCCTTGGCCTCCCCCCACCAAAGGGGATGGGAAAGGATCAGGCGGTTAGTTCTCAGCGTGCCCACCAGCCCCACACCTTCATGAGGTGCTGTTCCATATAGGAGGCGAAATACCGCAGGATGCCCAGCTGAGGCTGCAGGGCTCGGGGCACAGCAGCCACAGAGAAGGAGAAGTGCTTCGTGCTGGTGGGATTGTAGTGCACAGTCCTGCAAGGGGGGAAGCAGAGGTCAAAGCGAGCCCTGCACCAGCACCCCTCCCCTGAGACCCCAGGCACCCCCCATCAAGCTGCAGCCTCGCTCAGTACCACAGCTCGGATACAGGTGCCCCAGGGCAGCACTCACTTTCGATTGGCTGACAGGGCCATGTGTGTGCCATCATTGAACAGCACGGCCACGCGGCGGCTGGACAGTTGATACCCGAAGCCAAACTTGTTGGAGTAGTCCACCCACTTGCTGACCCACACCAGAGGCTCTGGCTGTGCCAGGGGGGCCGGGTTCTGATCCGCTGTCATGTGAGAGGGGGAAGTGAGGAGCTGACCCTGACCTCCCACCACCATTGACATGTACCAGACCCCAAGCGTACCTGGGGGCATGAAGGCCACACAGTTCCTCAGAGCACAGAGGGCTGACTCCACCACCGTGGCCACGGTCAGGCCTTCTTCAAACCCTGAAGGGATGGGACATTGGGGCTTAGGTATCAGCCGCCCAGGACCCAGGTCATGCCCCTCTGCCCAGCCCTTCCCCTGCTGGCTGGTCTCAGCCCCAGCAACCTCTAGCGCCTCCCATCCTCTCCAGCTCCTCACCGTCACCACTGCTCGCCAGTGTCCCACGGGGTGAGCTGTCTTCAGGTGCTGTCTCTACCAGGCTGACAGGGCCTAGACCGGAAGCTACTGGAACCTGGAAGATTAGGTAGGAAAAGGGAGTGAGAAAAGTCCTAAAATCCAAATCCTGGGGAGTCCGTGACCCAGCCTTGCCCTGGTTCCCAGGCCACTCCAGGTCAACCCCGCCAGGCTAATGAGACACAGCCAATTAGGCACCACGAGGCTGGATGCTTCGCCTGCCTCTTTTATCCGGGCTTCCCTCAGCTGCTAGGCTGGGGTGAGTCAGGGGAACAGTGACCACGTGGGCACCTCACCTCGGGCCTGGCATCCTGATGGCCGATGGACGTGCGCATGAGGCCGCTCACCAGACGGGAGACCTCGTCCCGCTCTTCAGGGTGGTTCTTACCTGGGGGTGAGGGGTGAGATGGCCTAAACATCCTGTCCAGCCTCTCTGCCTCCCACAGGGCTGGCAGAGAGGCAGGCCTTCCTAACTGTCTGCATACCACACCCCAGGTTGCTCTGTACCCCCGACCCACTGACACCCCAGACTCACTCTTCTTCTTCCTGCCAAAGAGGCTCTTGGTAACTTTGGCAAACAGACTCCTAGCTGGGTTGGGGGGTGTCAGGTCTGGGACTGTCACGCAGCTGCTGACAGGGAGCCGGTCGGGGGTGTAGCCCTGGGGAGGGGAGCCGTGTGAACAGAGAAGAGACCCCATACAACTCCCTGGAAATACACAGACTGGACTTAGGTGTCTGGAGCCACAGACCTTGGTAAAGAAGTCATGGCGTAGGATCTGGTCGATGGAGGGGCGGTCTCGGGGTGAAGCCCGCAGGATGGCAGCCAGGAGCTGCCGGGCAGGCAGTGAGAGGCTGGCAGGCAGCGTGTAGTGAACCTGCTTGATGCAGCGGTACGTCTCCTTCAGGTCAGCGGTCTCAAAGGGGGGCGTCCCACAGAGCAGTGTGTACCTGTGAGGCAGGATACACGGTCAGAAGTAGAGGAGTGGACCCCCATTATGTGAGGGACCACTCATGCACCCACCACCTCTCTGTCACTGACCCTGGGACTCACATGACACAGCCCAGTGACCATACATCTGCCTCGGGGCCATGGCCCTGTCTCAGCAGCACTTCTGGGGCCACATAGTTGGGGGTGCCACAGATGGTCCTGAAAGACAGTAGGGAGGAGGAGAGGGGAAGCTCAGACCCAGCCCATCCCTGCCCCCGCTGGGAGTCCAGACAAAGCAGCTGCCTGTCACCAAAGGCCAGAGAGCTCCTGCTTGTCCTGGGACAATAGATGCAGGGATGGCAGCTGAGTCCCCACCCACCCGCCTGGCCCAGCTGCTCAGCTGCTCTGCAGGATGGGTTGGACCTGACCCCCACCCCAGACCCTCCTCCCTCTGTCATACGGAGGGCGCATCACTGATCCCTTTCCCCTTTCCACCCTGTCTGTCAGAAACCCGTGAGACTGTCATCTCCCATGGTCCATGCCACATACACAACACCAGCTGTCCCAGCCCCCATAAACCTCATCTGCCACACATGTTTTCTGTGACACACACACCCAATGGCCACAACGGGGTCTTCACATACACACACACACACACACACACACACACACACACACACACACACACACACACACACACACACACACACACACACACACGGCGCCATGTCCTGCCATCTCCACACTCTCGGTCAGCTCTCTCACACACGTACACACTGCCTTTATCGCCCTTCCCCATCCACACATAGTCATAACTTCCAAGAATCCTTACATCCCCAATCGTCTCAGGGACACAGGCCGCCTGTCCCACCTGTGTCACTCACCCATAGGACCCTCAGTCTCTGCAGCATTTCCAGTAACCTGGGGCGCCTCTTGCACCTTCGCATACACAAACAACCCATCACCCTTCCCTGTTTATCACATGCACACATCAGGTGGTCACCTGGCCACCCACGTACATACTCACTATCACACACATCATCTGTGGCCACCCTCTGCCTTGAACACTCACTTCTTCCTCTGCTCTGGGGGCTCCAACCGGGCTGCCAGTCCAAAATCTCCCACCTTCAGTTCCATATTCTCGGTGATGAAAAAATTTCCTGGATGAGGACAAAGAGGGGTGCCAAATTGATTTCTCCCTTCCATTCCTCCCTCCCCAGCCCCCCATCCTGATGGCCCAGGAGTCTCACCTAGCTTGAGGTCCCGATGCAAGATGCCCCGCTGGTGCAAGTACTTGAGGCCTGAAAGGATCTGCCGCAGATAGTAACGCACCTCTGGCTCCAACAGGGTGTGCCGGGCCTTCCAGATGTGGGCCAGGGACTACAAAGAGCCATTGCCTCAGCCCCAGTAAACTCTTCCTGACCCTTCCTCTTGTGCTCACTGAGGAACGGACAGGGCCCCAGCTTTGGGTCCTAAGAGCTCCCTTCTGTCCTCAGTCCCTATCCCTGCCCGATCACATCATTCCTCACCTTTCGGCTGCAGAGCTCCAGGAAAATGTAGATGTTGTCAGCATCCTCAAAGTGGTGCGAAAAACGCACGATGTGGCGGTGCTGCAGGTCTCGGTGCAGCTCAATCTCGTTTAGGATCTGCGATGGGGCGAGGGATTGTCATCCTACCAGGTTCCCACCGCACCAACCCCACCCCACATCTCGTCCATCCGGCCTGGACCCACCTTTTCGCGCTGATGCGGCTTGGCGACGCGGCTCTGCGGGATGACTTTGACCGCATAAGCGCTGCCGGTCTCGGTGTCAGTGGCCTCGTAGCAGCGGGCGAAACCCCCCTATGAGGAGGGAGCATCAGGCCAGGAACTCCAGGAGAGACTGGTCTGGCCCGGGGATGTCCCCACGTCGGGGTCAAGCGTCCCCACACCGCCCGGTGCTGGAAAAGAGCATGACCGAGCCCTCCGCCCCGCTAGTATCCCCAGATAGCTCTCAGATGGCCCACCTTGCCCAACAAGCGGCCTTTGAAGTAGGTGCGGCCGCTGCGAGGGTCCGTGATGAGACGTCCAGGATCTGGCGTCGGTGGCCCAGCCAGCATCTCCTGCTCAGGTCCCGGCAAGGCACTCGAAGGCGGCCCGGGTCCTGCCGGGGGCGCAGGCGGGGCGGGCGCCCCGCGGGACGGGGGCGGGGGGGGGGGAC